CTTCCACCACTTTCTCTGGTAGCTCATTCCATAAAAACACCATCCTCTGCTTGAAAAAGTTGCCCCCTAGGTCCCTTTTAAATCTTTGCCCTCTCACTTTAAACCTATGCCCTCTAGTTTGGACTTTGCTACCCCGAGGAAAAGACCTTGGCTATTTATCCTACCTATGCCCTTCATGATTTTATAAACTTCTATAAGGTTACCCCTCAGCCTCCAATGCTCCAAGGAAAATAGACCTAGCCTAGTCAGCCTCTCCGAAAACTCAAACCCTCCAGCCGTGGCAATATCCTTGTAAATCTTTTCTGAACCCTTTCAAGTTTCACAATATCCTTCCTTATACACTTTTCTGCCCACTTAAACATCTAAAACCTCCTCCTCATTAGCCCTATCTGTTCTAGAATCTCACCATCTGGATTGAAATCCCCAGCTGAGATGGCTGCACTCCGAAAGCATGTGTGATTTCAAATAAATCTGTTGGACTATAACCAGGTGTCGTGTGGCTTCTGACTTTGTCCTCTGAATACGGATAAAAAATATTTGTTAAAGCCCTCACCAACTTTTACTGGCTCTGCAAACAGGTTGCCCCTTTGGTTCCTGACAGGTTCCAATCTATCCTTGGTAATCCTCTTATTATTAACATACTTATAAAAAGCCTTGGGATTTTCCTCGATCCCATCTGCCAAAGACTTGGAAGAGTCAGCATGATTTGTTCAGGGAAAACTGTGGCTAAGCTTCTGGAGATTTTTTTTCAAAGAGGTAACAGAGGGTTGATTCAGGTAATGCAGTTGATGAGGTTGTAGACATGCTCGCCGAGCCAGTGGGTTTGGTTGCAAATGTTTTGTCACCCTGCTGGGTAACATTGTTAGTGCGCCTCTGGTGACGCATTGGTGTCCTGTCCCGCTTGTTATTTATATGCCTTGGTTTGTTGGGGTGTTTGGTATTACTTCCAGTTCTGTTTCTCAGTCATTTGTACACAGAGTCTAATTCAATGTGTTTGTTGATGGAGTTCTGGTTAGAATACCAGGATTCCAGGATTTCCCTGGCATGTCTCTGTTTGGCTTGTGCGATTATCGATGTGTTATCCCAGTCAAATTCATGTCCTTCTTTGTCCGTGTGTAGTGAGACAAGAGACACGACCAATTCTCACTTGTGTTGTAGTGAGACAAGAGACACGACCAATTCTCACTTGTCTCACTACACACGGACAAAGAGGGACATGAATTTGACTGTGACAACACGTCCATAATCACACAAATCAAACAGAGACACACGCCAGGGAATTCCTGGAGGTCTGCTATTCTAAACAGAACTCCATCAACAAACACATTGAATTAGACCCTGTGTACAAACCACTGAGAAACAGAACCGGAAGTGATGCCAACCACCCTAGCAAACTGAGATATATAAATAACAAATGGGACAGAACATCGACATTTCACCGGAGGCATACTGACGATGTTACCTGGCTAGGGTGACAAAATATTTGCAATCAAACCCACCAGCTCGGCAAGCATGTCCACAACCTCATCCACAACCCGAGCTACAAATCTTCTCAAAGCTTTAAATGCAGTTGATGTGATGCATATGGATATCAAGAAAGATTTTGATTCGGCGACACATGACAGACTTGTGAGGAATGTTATAGGTCATGGCATTATAGGGACAGCACCGATCTGGATACAAAATAGGCTGAGTGAAAGGAAAGATGGTTATGGTCCACAGATATTTTTCAGGCTGGAGGGCTTCACATGGGTTGGAATGGAGACTCTTGCTTTTTGATCTGGATCTTGCTGTGCAGAGACACATTTCAAAGACTGCAGGTGATAAGATCAGTGTGGAATTTTAAAATGGCAAGTTTGGTGGATTAGGCAGAAAGGTAGCAGATAAAGATCAATGCAGAGAAATGTGAGGTGATGCACTTTGGTTGGAAGAACAATTAAAGGCAATATAAAATAAGGTGTACAATTCTAAAGAGCTATGCAATTCTACAGCTATAAGGGGGTATGAAAAAAACATGGCAGATAGGATCAAGGAAAACTCCAAGGCTTTTTACAAATACGTGAGGAACAAGAGAATGACCAGAGAAAGGTTAGGGCCCAGCAAGGATTGTAAAGGGAATTTGTGCACGGAGCCTAAAGAGATAGGCGAGGTCCTTAATGAATACTTTTTTTTGGTATTCACAACTGAGAGGGACCTAGTTGTAGAGGAGGACAGTGTGAAACAGGCTGGTAGGCTAGAGGAGGTGGATGTTTGTAAGGAAGATGTACTAGGAATTTTGAGGAATTTGAAGATAGATAAATCCCCCGGGCTTGATGGGATTTATCCAAGGATTCTATGGGAAGTGAGGGAAAAGATTGCAGGGCCTTTGGCGTTGATCTTTTCGTCCTCACTGTCCGTGGGTGTAGTTCTGGAAGATTGGAGAGAGGCAAACGTCATTCCCTTGTTCAAAAAAGGGAATACGGATAACCCTGGAAATTACAGGCCAGTTAGTCTTACTTCGGTGGTGGGCAAATTATTGGAAAGGGCTCTGAGACCCCCATGGTAGGGTTATGCAGAAAGTAAGGAGGCATGCAATCGGGGGAAATCTGGCAGATTGGATTCAGAATTGGCTGACCCTTAGAAGACAAAGTGTGGTAGTGGATGGAAAATATTCAACCTGGTGCTCAGTTACGAGTGGTGTACCACAAGGATCAGTTCTGGGTCCTCTTTTATTTGTGATTTTTGTAAATGATTTGGATGTAGGAGTTGAAGGGTGGATTAGTAAGTTCGCGGACGATACAAAGGTGGGTCGAGTTGTGGATAGTGCGGAGGGCTGTTCTAGGTTACAAAGGGAAAATTCTATGTTGCAGTTCTCAGCCCAGCTCTGCATCCTATCAATTATGAGATAACAAGGTGTAGAGCTGGATGAACACAGTAGGCCAAGCAGCATCAGAGGAGCAGGAAAGCTGTCTCCTCTCCACCTATCTTCTCCTTTATCCATCTTCTATCCGCCTCCCCCTCTCTCCCTATTTATTTCAGAATCCCCTTCCCCTCCCCCATTTCTGACGTTTCGGGCCAGACCCTTCTTCAGAAATGGGAGAGGAGAAGGGGGTTCTGAAATAAATAGGGAGAGAGGGGGAGGCGGATAGAAGATAGATAAAGGAGAAGATAGGTGGAGAGGAGACAGCTTTCCTGCTCCTCTGATGCTGCTTGGCTTGCTGTGTTCATCCAGCTCTACACCTTGTTATCTCATAATTGATAGGATGCAGAGCTGGGCTGAGAAGTGGCAGATGGAGTTTAACCCTGAAAAGTGTGAGGTGATTCACTTTGGAAGGACAAACTTGAAAGAAGAATACAGGGTTAACAGAAAGATTCTTGGCAGTGTAGAGGAGCAGAGGGATCTTGGGGTTCATGTCTACAGTTTCCTGAAAGCTGCCACCCAGGCAGATAGAGTTGTTAAGAAGGCCTATGGTGTGTTAGCCTTCATTAATAGAGGGATTGAGTTGAAGAGCCGTGAAGTTACGCTCCAGCTATACAAAAACCTGGTTCGGCCACATCTGGAGTATTGTGTCCAGTTCTGTTTGCCTCATTACAAGAAAGATGTGGAAGCGTTGGAAAAGGTGCAGAGGAGATTTACCAGGATGTTGCCTGGAATGGAGGGAAGGTCTTACGAGGAAAGATTGAGAGAGCTAGGGCTTTTCTCTTGAGAGCGACGAAGGATGAGAGGTGACTTGACAGAGGTGTACAAAATGATCAGAAGTATAGATAGAGTGGACAGCCAGAGACTTTTTCCTTGGGTGGAAGTCGCCATTTCGAGGGGGCATAGTTTTAAAGTGAGTGGAGGTAGCTATAGGGGAGACGTCAGAGGTAGGTTCTCTACTCAGAGAGTGGTAGGGGGGTGGAATGCATTGCCAGAGAGGGTAGTGGAGTCGGCCTCATTAGGGACATTTAAGCTGTAATTAGATAGGCATATGGATGATAGTATAATATAGGGGTGGAGATTAGATAGACCTTAGGTTTAGGGTAAAAATTCGGCATAACATCATGGGCCAAAGAGCCTGTACTGTTCTATGTTCTATGTTCTAAAAAGGGTACAGGAGGGCCCTGGGGCATACGTGCATGATCATTGAAGGTGGCAGGATAGGTAGAACAAGCATTAAATAAAGAATATCATATCCCCAGAGATAATAAGAACTGCAGAATGCTGGAGTCAGAGATAACAAAGTGTGGAGCTTGAGGAACGCAGCAGGCCAGGCAGAATCAGAGGAGCAGGAAGGTTGAAGTTTCGGGTCGGGACCCTTCTTCATATCCCCAGGTTTATTAATAGGGGCATAGAGCTCAAGAAGAGATGTTGAACTTGCATAGGACACTTGTAAGACCTCAGCTGGAGTATTGCATACAGATATGGGTACTACATTTATAGGAAAGACGTGAATGCATTGGAGAGAGTGCAGGAGTGATTTACTAGAATCATTTCAGGATGAAGATAGATTGAAGAAGTTAGCACTGCTCTCCTGAGAGGGAAGAAGGCTGAGTGGAGATTTGATTGAGGCTTTTGAAATCATGAGGGGCCTAAACAGAGTACGTAAGAAGAAACTGTTTGCAATTATAAAAGGTTTGAGAAAAAGAAGGAAGAGTGATTTGAAAGAAAAGGTTTTTCAGGTAGCACGTAGTTGGTGTCTGGAATGCATTGCCTGGAAATATGGTGAAGGCAGGTTTAATGAGAAATTCAAGAGGGCATTGGATGGTAATTGAAGGAGAAACAATGTGCAGGGGTGTGCAGGAAAGGCAGGAGAATGGCATTAAGTCATCATGCCTGTTGGAGAGCCAGTCGAATGACCTCCTTCCTCTTGTAACATTTCTATGTTTGTGTGATTTTTGAAATCCTTCAGTCTCTCTGTCTCACACTGCCTGTCTATCCATTTGTCTATCTCTCTCCCTCTGACATTCTCTATCTATCTCTCTCTCTCTCTCTCTCTCTATCACGTGCACTGACCTACATTCTCTCTTCCCCTGTTTAGGTGACTCTCCACTTCTCTGTGGCTGAAGACTTGCCCAAAAGCCACATCAGCCTCGATCTTCGTGCTGAGCCGTACTCTCTCTGTGGGCTGCGAGTGGTCGATCACAGTGTGCTACTGCTGAAACCTGAGACAGAGCTTTCCCGAGGCAGTGTAAGATGCAGAGCGCAACTACACTCAGCTTTTGGCTGGGGCAGCAAATCCCTTGGCACTCTGAAGCCATCTGTCCCATCAGATTGCCCTACATTTCAGACATGAGCTGAAATAGTCAAGCGAGGCTCAATATTACCTTAATATAACCCTAATTTAACGCAAATACATTTCCTATAACTCATACATTACAGTTCACAGACAGTAATAAACCTCACAGTCACAACTACTTTACAAGTAATCACACCACCACCCCTCACCCAGACAGTACTTGTAGACAAAGAACAAGACTAGGCCATTCTGCCCATCAAGCTTGCTCTGCCATTCAGTAAAATCATGTACTGAACTGATTCTAACCTCAACTCCACATTCTTGCATATTCCTGAGAATCTTTCATCTCCTTGGTCATCAAGAATCTCTCTACTTCTACCTTAAAAATATTTAAAGATTTGACGTCCACTGCCTTTTGAGGAAGGGAATTCCAAAGATTTACAACCCTCTGAGAAAGAAGATATTTCTTTATCTCTGTTTTAAATGGGTGGCCCCTTATTTTAAACTCTGAACCCAAGATCTAGATTCTCCCACAAAGAAGCATCCTTTACACATACACCTGGTCAAGTCCCCTCAGGATCTTATATGCCCCAACTAAGTCACCTCTGACTCTTCTAAACTTGTGAAGATACAGGCCTAGCCTGTCTAGTCTTTCCTTATAAGGATATCCGCACATTCTAGCTATTAATCTCGTAAACGTCTGATTTGCATCCAACACATTAACTTCCTTGTGTAAGTACATTGACCAATTCAGTGCACAGTACTCCAGATGTGATCTCACCAATGTCATATACATTAAGGGAGAGAGGGGAAGAATGAGCCCAGCTATCTGATTCTGATTCCTGTCCAGTTATCCCTGGATAAGACAGTAACAGAAATTAATGGAGAAACACAGCAGCACTGGCAAAATCTGGGTAAGCCAGTGACTGCCTCAGCCTGATTTTGTGCTCCTGCTCCTGCTGAGGTTCTGGATAGTGTGGGCTACTTTGACTTGGGTTTCTATTGTGTGAAGAATTCCTTGGTTGAACTGCTGTCAAATGCCCTTTAGTGAGGCTGACAGCTCCTCTGACGTGCTTACTGATGAAAATGTGATCTTCAGATCTTCCTGCTGCTGATGTGCTCTTTTACACTTGCTCACCAGATCTACTCCTTGCTGCCAGTGCAGGATCTGCAGAATTACTCAAATGAGCTCAAAAGCCATGAACAACATTACTGCAAGCTCCAAAATCACCTGGCAGAGCCTGAACCCAATGAGCAAGCAATGGGAGACCTCGGACAACTTCTCAAGGTTGTTCCATTGGCCAGTAACCTCTCGCAAACTCCCATCACAAATCAAGACCCTTGCCTGGAGAAGGGGTAGTATGGAGAAGAGTGAGGGAAGGAGGGAGAGACAGACAGGGACTCGGAGTGAGAGAGAGTGAGACAGAGATAGCAACAGACAACAAAAACAGAAGTTGCTGGAAAATCTCAGCAGGTCTGGCAGCATCTGTGAAGAAAAGGAAATCAGAGTTAATATTTCAGGTCTGGTGACTCTTCCTCAGAACAGAGAGAGATAGGGAGAGTGAGAGACAGACAGCAGGAATGAGAGACAGAGCAACTAACTGACAAAGAGAGACAGAGGAAGAGAGAGAGACAACACGAAACAGATGGGTAGAGGTACAGATTGAGACAGAGAGACAGATGGACAGAAGCAAGAATGAGACAGAGACAGAGAGTGAGAGAGACAGAGAGTGAGATACATAGACAAGGAGAGACAGACAGGGAGAGTAAGAGACATACTGGAGGAATTAGAGACAGAGCAAGCGACAGACACAGAAACAGATGCACAGGCAGAGAAAGGACGCACAACAGGATGTTGCCTGGTATGGAGGGAAGGTCTTATGAGGAAAGGCTGAGGGTCTTGAGGCTGTTTTCGTTAGAGAGAAGAAGGTTAAGAGGTGACTTGATAGAGACATACAAGATGATCAGAGGATTAGATAGGGTGGACAGTGGGAGCCTTTTTCCTCGGATGGTGATGGCTAGCATGAGGGGACATAGCTTTAAATTGAGGGGTGATAGATATAGGACAGATGTCAGAGGTAGGTTCTTTACTCAGAGAGTAGTAAGGGCTTGGAATGCCCTGCCTCCAAAAATAGTAGACTCGCCCACTTTAAGGGCATTTAAATGGTCATTGGATAAACATATGGATGATAATGGAATAGTGTAGGTTAGATGGGCTTCAGATTGGTTTCACAGGTCGGCGCAACATCGAGGGCCGAAGGGCCTGTCCTGCGCTGTAATGTTCTATGTTCTATGTTCTACGTGAGAAGGACGGAGATGGATAGAGCTAGTGAGAGAGACAGAGTGAGTGAGAGAAAGCTGAGAGACTGACAGAGGGAGAGAAGGAGACTGAGACAGAGTGAGACACAGACAGAGACGCAGACAGAAAAAGAGGTAGAGAGTGAAATACAGACAGGGAGACAGAGAGTGAAACAGACAGGGAGAGAGGTACAAAGGGAGAGAGATAGGGAGAGGGACAGAGAGACAAAGACAAGGAGAGAGACAGAGAGAGAAAGAGAAACAGAGACAGAATCGAAAGGCAGAGACAGACAGTGAATGAGGCAGAGGCAGAGGAGAGACAGAGAAAAAACAATTGAGACTGAGACAGGAAAAGTGTTGAGGCACAGAAAGTGTGAAAGATACAGAAAGAGGTAGTGCAACACAAAGGTATGGAGACAGAGAGAGATGAATGGAGAAACAGCCAAAAAGGAGCTGGAGGAGGGAGGGGAAGAGTAATAAATGAAGACCTGAAGTGAGCAAAGTAGAGGATGGAGAGACAGATGAAAGGAGGATGGGAGGTGATTGAGGGACTGGCAGACGGAAGGATTGAAGGTGGAGCGGATGGAAGCCTGGAGGGTCATTTGGAGACCAAGAAGACTGGATGCAGGGAGATCATGGAATTGTAGTCAAATTGATGAGTTGATGAAGGAATGGAGGATTGGTCAATGCAGGAATATATAATTCACAGCATCTCTCCTCTCCCCTATCTCTCACTTTCTCTACCTGTCATTCTCTCTGTCTCCCCCAACTCTCACTTCACTGCTCCCCCTCTCTATCTCATTCCCTCTCTCCTTTCACTTCATTCTCCCTCTCTATTCTTCCGTTCTTCCTCTTCACGCTCTCATCTATCTCTCTCATTTATCTCTCTCCCACTTTCCCTCTTCCTCTTCCCGTTTCACTCCCTTTTACCCCTTCTCTCTCTCCTTCTCATCCTCTGTCACACTCGCTCTCCTGTGACATCAATGATTTTCTCTGATCTACCAACAGAATATGGGACTGCAAATTCTGACAGACACTGAATTTCACAAACCCATCAAGTGTTTGTTCGATGAGTCTTATGGTATTGTCGTGAATGGTATACCGTTTTTCAGTAAAGGTATGTTCACTGCACCCACCAAATATTATTCTGAACCTATGATAAATTCTCTGTACTCTGTGGCTGAAAAGATGGTGTGACGGGGAGAATTCCAGACTCACAGGGCACTGGGATCAGTTCTGGGGGGCAGTGGGACCTGTGCACACTGGACGGGTTCCACCTGGGCAGGACTGGGACTGATGTTGTTGGGGGAAATACTTGGCAGAGTGGTCGCGGAGGGTTTAAACTAGTGTGGCAGGGGAATGGGAATGACAGGGGTAGGTTAGTAGATGCAGAAATTGAGGGAGAGGTAGAAACCAAAGCAAACATTACTAAGAAAAAGAACAGGCAGGGAACACTGCAGAAAAGTGCAGGGGAGGTGGTCTGAAATGCATGAATTTCAATGAGAGAAGTATAATAGGCAAGGTAGATGAACTTAAGAGTTTTGGTTACTACGTGGAACTATGACATTATTGAAATTACAGAGACTTGGCTGAAAGAGGGATAGGACTGGCAGCTGAATATCCCAGGATTTAGATGCTTCAGGTATGATAGAAAGGGAAGTAAATGGGTGGGGGAGTTGCATTACTGGTAAAGAAATATCTTGGCTGTACTGAGGGATGATACATCAGAGGACTTGTGCAGCGAGGCATTATGGATAGAACTCAGGATTCCTATGAAAGGTGAAATCACAATGGTGGGGGTATACTGCAGGCCTCCTGGGAGATAGACGAAAGAATATGTAGACAGATTTTGGAAAGATGTAAAAATAGCAGTGTTGTTATGGGGGGTGATTTTAACTTCTGCTGTATTGACTGGGACTCACTATGTACTAGGGGCTTGGATGGGGCAGAATTTGTAAGGACCATTCAGGGGGATTCTTGACACAGTATGTAAACAGTCTAAACAGGGAAGGGGAAATACTGGACCTGGTTTTGGGAAATGAGTCCAGTCATGTGAGTGAAGTTTCAGTGGGGGAGCATTTCGGGTGTAGTGACCATAATACTGTGAGTTTTAAGATACTCATGGATAGGGATAACAGCAGTCCTCGGGTGAAGGTGTTAAATTGGGGTCAGGCAAACTATAGCGATATTAGGCAGGAAGTGGAGAATGTTAATTGGAGGTGGGTTTGAGGGTAAATCTACATCGGACACGTGGGAGTATTTCAAATGGCAGTTGATAAGAGTTCAGGTGCGGCACATTCCTGCGAGAATGAAGGATTGGTATGGTAAGTTACGTGAACCTTGGTTGACCTTGGTCAGAAAGAAAAAGGAAGCATACGTAAGGTCTAGGAGGATTCAAACGGATGAAGTGCTTGAAGTATATAAGGAAAGTAGGAAAGAATTTAAACAAGGAATTAGAAGGGCTAAAAGGGGTCATGAAGAGGAAGGGGAGGTCCTAAATGAATACTTTATGTTGGTATTCACCAAAGAGAAGGAATTGGTAGAGTGTCAGGTTCTCAGCCAAGTTGCTATGAAAAAGGAAGAGGTGTTGTGCATCTTAAAAAGTAATAAGGTAGATAAGTCCCTGAGTCCTGATGGAATCTATCCAAGCATATTGAGGGAGGCGAGAGAACAAATTGCTGGAGCATTGACAGACATCTTTGTATCCTCTTTGGCCACAGGTGAGGTCCCAGAGGACTGGAGAAGAGCCAATGTTGTCCCATTGTTTAAGAACGGTAGCAGGGATAATCCTGGAAATTACATACCCGTGAGTCTCATGTCACGGGTAGGGAGATTATTGGAGAGATTCTCAGGGACAAGATCTATATGCATTTAGAAGCAAATGGACTTATTAGCGATAGATAGCATGGTTTTGTGCGGGGGAAGTCATGGCTCATGAATTTGATCGAGTATTTTGAGGTCACGAAGATGATTAATGAGGGAAAAGTGGTTGATGTTGTCTACATGGACTTCAGTAAAGGTTTTGACAAGGTCCCTCAAGGCAGACTGGTACAAAAGATAAAGTCACATGGTATCGGGGTGAGCTGGTAAGATGAATACAGAGTCGACACAGTCTGGAGCTGGAGAAACACAGTAGGTCAGGCAACATCAGAGGAGCAGGGAAGTTGATGTTTCGGGTCAGGACCCTTCATCAGGACTGATGGATACAGAACTGACTTAGTCAAAGAGGGTAACAGAGGGTAATGGTGGAAGGATGCTTTTCAGAATGGACGGTTGCGACTAGTGGAGTTCCACACAGATCAGTGGTAGGTTCTCTGCTGTTTGTGGTCTATATACATGATCTGGAGGAAAATGCAGCTGGTCTAATTACGGACGATACAAAGATTGATGGAGTTGCGCATGGTGAGGAAGACTGTCAGAGCATACGGCAAGAAGTAGATCAGTTGGAGGCATGGGAAGACAAATGACAAATGGAGTTTAATCCGAACAAGTGTGAAGTGAAGCATTTTGGAAGGTCAGGTACAGTTGAAAATTATACAGTGAATGGCAGAAACTTTAGGAGTACTGATATGCAGGGATATCTGGTCCACAGATCATTGAAGGTGGTACCACAAGTAGATAAAGTAGTAAAAGAGGCTTATGGCATGCTTGCCTTCATTGGAAGGTCAGAACTCACACAACACCAGGTTATAGTCCAACAGGTTTATTTGAAAACAAGCATTTGGATCTCAGTCCTTCTTCAGGTGTTAATGAAGTGGTATCAAGACACAGAATTGAAAAGTAAAAGATCAAAGGGTCACACCACTGATGAGGATGAACTGAACAAGCCTAAAATGTTGTTAAATCTTCAATCAGTTAGAAGATTTTAATTGATTAATATGTATATGTAATTACCTGAATTCCTTTCAAGTCACTGTCCTGAGAGAACTAAAGGTTTTATCAGTGTAAAGAAGAGGTGACATTTTAGGTCAGATAATGCATGTTAGGTGTGAGGCCTTGTTTAGAATCTGTTTGTGTTTTGGTTTGGAGTCAGACTGGTTTTATTTCTAAAGTAGGAATTTGTAAAATGCCACATTGACTGACTGTCCCAAAATTGTGTGGTGTATTTTGACCAAAATAGAATGTATCTGTAAGTGCAAGTTCACCCCGTAGATTTGGGAAAGAGAGAGAGTGTGTGTGTATGTGTATGTGCATGCATGTGTGATGGAGAGACAGTGTATGTGTGTGTGTGTGTAAGAGGGTGTTGTGTGACATGAACCCAAGATCCAAGATCCAAGATCCAAGATCCCAGTTGAGGCTGTTCTATTGGGTACTGAACTTGGATATCGCCTCTGCTCGGCGACTCTGTGTTGTGGTGTATCCCGACGTCCACCTTGGAGGATGTTTCCCGGAAGATTGGAGGCTGAATGTCCCCGACTGCTGAAGCGTTGCCCCACTGGGAGGGAACATCCCTGTCTGGCGATTGTTGCACGATGTCCATTCATCTGTTGTCGTAGCGTCTGCATGGTTTTGCCAATAAACCATGCCTTAGGTTATCCTTGCCTGAAGGTAGGCAACATTGTCTATGTCACATGAGTATCTGCTGTGAACGTGGAGGATGGTGTTCCCATGTAGGATGGCAGTGTCCATGTCGAAGATCTGACATGACTTTCAGAGCTTACCATGACAGGGTTGGATAGTGTTGTGGTTCACGTAGTCCTGAAGGCTGGGTAGTTTGCTGCGAGCAATGTTCTGTCTAAGGTTTGGCAGTTGTTTGAAAGTGAGAAGTGAAGGCGTCGGGAAGATCTTGGTGAGGTGTTCATCGTCATCGATGATATGTTGAAGGCTGCAAAAAACATGGTGTAGTTTCTCTGCTCCCAGGAAGTACTGGACGATGAAGGGTTTCCCTATCGGACGTATTCCGTGTCTGTCTTCTGAGGAGGTCATTATGGTTTTTTGCTGTGGCAGTCAGAACTGGTAATCAATGAGTTGAGCATCGTATCCCATTCCTATGAAGGTGTCCTTCAACACCTTCAGGTGTCCAGCCCATTCCTCCTCATCTGAACAGATCATGTACATAGAACAAAGAACAAAGAAAATTACAGCACCGGAACAGGGCCTTCGGCCCTCCAAGCCCGCGCTGATTCAGATCCTCTATCTAAACCTGTCGCCTATTTTCCCAGGATCTGTATCCTTCTGCTCCCTGCCCATTCATGTATCTGTCTAGATACATCTTAACTGATGCTATTGTGCCCGCCTCTACCATCTCCGCTAGCAATGCATTCCAGGCGCCCACCACCCTCTGCGTAAAGAACTTTCCACGCATATCTCCCTTAAACTTTTCCCCTCTCACCTTTAAATCGTGACCCCTAGTAATTGAGTCCCCCACTCTGGGAAAAAGCTTCTTGCTATCCACCCTGTCGATACCTCTCATGATTTTGTAGACCTCAATCAGGTCCCCCCTCAACCTCCGTCTTTCTAATGTAAATAATCCTAATCTACTCAACCTCTATTCTTAGCTAGTGCCCTCCATACCAGGCAACATCCTGGTGAACCTCCTCTGCACCCTCTCCAAAGCATCCACATCCTTTTGGTAATGTGGCGACCAGAACTGTACGCAGGATTCCAAATGTGGTCGAACCAAAATCCTATACAACTGTAACATTCCTGCCAACTCTTGTACTAAATATCCTGTCCGATGAATGAAAGCATGCCGTATGCCTTCTTGACCAGTCTATCGACCTGCATTGCCACCTTCAGGGTACAATGGACCTGAACACCCAGATCTCTCTGTGCATCAATTTTCCCCAGGGCTTTTTTGCATATGGCTTGTCCGTAGGGAATGGCTGTTTTAATATGTTTAGGGTCAAAGCTAGAGAAGTGCAGCATCATGAGGTTATCCGTAGGCCTGCGGTAGATTGAGGTATTTAAGTGCCCGTCCCTGATGGGGATATGTGTGTCCAAGAGTGGGATTGATTCTTACGAGCATTCCTGACGGTGGGATGGAACTTGTTGGTATCGCTATGTAGTTGTTTCAGTGATTCCTTGCCATGAGCCCAAAGGAAGAAAATGTCATCAATGTATCTGGTGTACAGCATTTGTCAGAGGTTCTGTGCAGCAAAGAAGTCTTGTTCGAAC